TTTTCATGTATTTAGGTCAGGGTCTACAGGTTCTACAGTCTCACTATGTAGATTGGACTCGTGAATCTCCTGTTTTCAGCCTCCCAAGCATTGGGAATACAGGAATGCACCACCACTCCCAGTCTTTACAATTTTATTTTGAAAGAGGGTCTCACTTAGTTGCTCAGCTTAGCCTCAAATTTGTGATCCTCCTGTCTCAGCCTACTGAATAGCTAGGTTAATAGGCACACAGGCCATTGCAGTGGATTGTTAACTGGTAGTCAACTTATTATACCCAGCTGAATTGAACTAGCATGATACTGGGTGTAGGGGCTCCACCTGAGGATGGTTGCCAGCAGCATAAGAGGCAGAACAGGAGAAGCTGTCAAGAGGTTGTTAGTGAACCTGTTTGGAGAGAAGCTGCTGGCCCCCTTAGGTTATTCTGCTAGAGGACCTTGTCATAATGGCTTTCCTGATGAATTTGGCTATTCCTGTCAGAAGAGGAGCTCAGGACCTTTGTTGTCATTTAGAATGGCTGTGGTTCCTTTTGGGGAGCTCTGGTCCTCATCTTGAGCATTGTTTCCTAGCTCTAGAGGGGAAGCTGGTACACTGCTCAGCCTTGTGGAGAAGCTTCTCACTTGGCTTTCCTGATGGGAACTCAGCTTTCCTCATCACTGGAGGAGCTTGGAACCTCACTGTTGCTGAGGATGGCTGTGGGACTTTCGTGGAGGGCTCTCATTCTTGAAGGCTGCTTCCTCACTTCAGTTCAGATATCTCAGCTTGCTAGTACAGATCCTTCATCCTGCTAGCACAGACTTTCTAGCTTCCATCACTACCTTTGGGCCTTCCAGTGCAAATCTGTGCAGTGCGCCTTTATGAGACATTGTTGTGGGTTCTAGGCTTCCAATTGCACTTGTGAGAGGCATTATTATAGGCTCTAGTTCTTCAGCTGGACTCATGCAGGATATTAGGATCCAGGCCCTCAGCTGAATTTTTTTTTTTTGGGGGGGGCACTTCTGTAATTTTATTTCCAAGCTAGTTCTCATCTACATTCACTGTCTGGAGATTTTTGAACATGGTAACAGGGACATAGGTTACCAAGGTATACAGCTTGTTTGGTGAATTGTGATCCTCATTCCATTTCCTGGACAACCGTACCCAGATACGATATGGAACACTCCTAACTCCTTTGGCCCAGACAGCTTTGTTAAGCCTGGTGTTGATGCGCACATCTGGAGTCCCCATTTCCTTCATAGCAAACTTCTGGATCTCCTGAAGTACCCAAGGGGCACGCTTCTTGAAGCCCACTCCATAGATGTGCTTATGAATGTTGATTGTGTATTCTCCAGTCACCAGCTCATTGATGGCAGAATGGCCCTTTTTCTTCTTGCCAACCTCCTTTGCAGGAGCCATTCTACTGGGCCCAAGTTGGAAAGGAAGAGCGCGGTGGATTGTTCAGCTGGATTCTTTGGTCTTTAGTGTGTAGACAGATGTCCTGCACTTTTGTATACTATTCTTTGGGCACCTCATTATCAGTATTATAGAATGTGTTCTGTATTGCGTTGTTCCCCTTGTAAAAATCCCAAACCATGACAGTCACCATATCTGGGCTATTTCTACTTTACCCTAGCATGTTAGACCTTGACATGCCTTCTCATTTTTATAAATTTATTTTTAGGCTTACAATACAATGTTTGTAGTGCTATGGATCAAACCCAGGTTCTCATCTAGGCAAAAGCACTATGTCATTGAGCTACGCCCTAAGCCCTATAATATACTGTTATCAATTAGTCATACTGATGCAATTTTGTATTTGACCAACACGTCCCTAATCCTCCCCTTGTATTTCTAGAAAAGAAAACAATGCATAATGGGCCCCTACTAAATCCTAGACACTATCTTATCATACCTCATACAATTCTTATGACCTCCATGGAAAGCAGAGTTTTATCTCCATTTTACAGAGAAAGAAACAATTTGTTCTACAGCGCACATCACTCTTTGCTATGGCTCATCTCTTCATGAATAGCTTAGAGAACATAAAACAGTGCTGTCCCAGAAGGACCAAGGTTCTAAGGGGAATCCTGTCTCAAGTCAGAATGTCAGCATCCAGAACACATCTAACAGTGCACAGGAAACTGCAGGCAGGCACCTTTTCCTTTTAAACTCCCTCACTTACAGAGAAGAGCCAAAGTAAAAGACTCAACTCATTTCCTTTCTCTTTCAAAGAACTGAAGTCAATGGAAAACAATCTCCCAAAAAAAACTCAACAGAAGTTTATCTACAAGAGACAGATGCCTGTTAATAAGACATAAAAGTCAGACTCTGTGTTTTCTGCAATACAATAAAAACTAAAACCAGAAAGTATTTTTAGCTCTTTCCAGCCTAAAAGTATGCTATGGTTTGGGTTGAATTGTTCCCCCCAAAGCCTCATGCAGTCATTGGGGTAGACTTCTAGAGGTGGGATTATGGGTGGGAGTGCTACCCCCACCCTGGGGCATAAGGAAGGCAGAGAGGCCTCTGCTCCAACTGCTCCTGCCTTTTTGCTCTTGCTGTTTTCCAGTCTTGAATTGCTGCCTGCTGCCATGTGTCACTCTGCCTTGGAGCCAGCAGAGTATGGACTGAAACCTCCACAAACTGTGAGCTAAATAAACAGTTCCTTCCTTAATTCTGGGTTTTGGGTATTTTGTCCCAGCAATGAGAAAAAAGTAACCAAGACAAAGTATTTGACCAGAAGAAAGTAAGTCATTTTGGAACAGAAAGCTTCCAAAATAAAGTGGATATTCCACATGGCCTATTATTAGCAGTGTCTGATTCCAATTACCATGGCCCACTACCTCATCCCAATTCCATCAAAGCAAGGAGGCACATGTGAGGTACCTAGGTCACTAAAAAGACACAATGGCACCTTGCTGAGTCCTGGTAGACCATTCCTTTAGACAACTATGACTTAGAAAACATCCTGTATTACATTCGATCTTTTGCATATTTTCCATTGCAAATTTTGCTGGATTTTTTTCCCTCTCAATAATGAAGAAAATATTCTTCCTTTACAGATGATGGGGGGAAAAAACCCCAAAATATCAAGTTAGAAATTTTGATACAAAAACCATAGGAAGATTTATATCTTTCATTTACCTATTTTGGGTATACATCTAGATTTCAGCCTAAAAAAACCTCAGTGGACATATACATCAACTTGAATTTATTTAATGCCCAGTTTTTTGTGGAATAGTGCTACACAGTATTAACAATATTAAATTAATCTAAAAATCTTAAAGGTCTTTTATTTTTTGAGACATGTCTCAGTAGTTAGCCCAGGATGGCTTTGAACTTGCAGTGATCCTCCTGCCTCAGCCTCCCAAGTGCTGGGATTATAAGTGTACACCACCATACCTGGCTTAAGCTTTTCAATCAAAATTTACTTTCATTGCCCTATATAATGGTCATATACCTAAATGATAGACTAAGTCAGTATCTAATTCAGTTTGTATGCATCACTTGATTTTATAAAAGAAGTGAATTTAGTAGAAATGCAGGACTGTTGGCTCAAGTAGTTCTTTTTTTTTTTTGGCGGAACTGGGGATTAAACTCAGGGCCTTGCGCTTGCCAGGCAAGCACTTATTCTACTGAGCCATCTCCCCAGCCCCTCAAGTAGTTCTAAGTGAGTGAATAATGCCTGCTTGAAAAATACTATAGAACAATGAATGTAAAATGCACATATAAATGTAACAGCCATGATTGGAGCAACATTTACTGTTGTCTGCATCTTCTATGGTCTATGGCATAAGCCCTGTGTCCAAAACTTTACAGAATTAAACAGTCCCCAAAGTAAGAGTTAACAGCTAAGGAAATTCTTTTTCTCCCTTAAGGAAGTAGACAGACAGTGAAGCCTCAGTGTGAGCACAATTAATTTCCTATGCAGAAAAATTCAAGATCAGTTCCAATATATATCACACTATCAACCAGTCCACTTTGAAGGAGTCTTTAAAAGCTGAATACATTTATCTGTGAACCTCCACAAGAAAGAACAAAGATTAAAAAAAAATAAGTAAGTTACAGTGTGATAAAATTTACTAACTCAATACCAACTCAGAGCCTGAGGAATCCAGGTGTTTAGAATTAATAGCTGTCCTTGCAGCACACCACCTGGGTACTGCACTGTAGAACTAGCATTTACACAGACATCTTAAGGAAACTGTAATCTAATCCTGTAAAGCAATGATAAGACTGTAAAGTGCTGTGTATAATGGAAGGAAATGACGTAACTGGGCGAACACTAGAATAGTTTTTTTTTCCAATGGCAGTGACCAATGTGGGCTGCCTTGTTCTCTGGCTCATACAGAATCTAACACAGCTATGTAAGAGAACTGAGACAAAGACAAAGGTTTAGGGATAAGGCACAGAGCCAAAGAGGCCTGCCTGCCTTAAGACTTTTGGGCTGGAGATATAGCTGAGTAGCACAGGTGCCTGCTTGGCAAGTATAAGGTCCTAAGTTTGATTACTAGTACCAAAAAAACAAAATTTGTCCCTCCAACAATGAGGATATACACACAAGTCCTTCCTTCAACTGGATCCATTCATATGAGAGTTCAGGATACAGTGACAATGAAACCTTCACAGCTTATCAAAAATGTCATTTCTTGAACATCTTAGAGCTATTATATGATTGGATCACAATGCAAACATAAATAATAATTACATGTGTAAAAAATTTGCTAGGAGATAGGTCTACGTGTATATCTATCTCCTTTGCAGTAGAATGAAATGCCCAAACTACCAGTTTTGCCTTCATAAAAGAGACATACTATCTTCAGCCCTGTTTTCTTTTTTTAGCCAGTATACATAAGAAATTATTTTCAGAGGCCAGGTACTAAAAAAGGGAAGAAATTATTTCAAAAAGTTCCAATTTCTATTTCCAAAATCCATCTCAATTATTAAACATGAGAAATAGATGTTCTAAAAATGTACCTCCCAGTACTCCCCAAAACTAGGGGGATCAGGACTGTCTGGTTACTTACTTGTTAAAAAAGGGTTCAATGAGCTTTGATCTGGCAGACACATGAACTTTTGGAGGACTGAGAAAAGAACCTAATAAAGAAAAGAAGCAGGATATTATACACAGTCAAGTGGACAAAGTCTGAAAGTTCAGACAAAAAAGAAAAACAAAGCAATAGTCTGATTAGGCAAAGGGTAAAGGTAAACTACTGAACCAGGTACCTTACAATGTAAGTGTCACTGGTTCCTCTCTCTTTTTCCCTCCCATCTCCTCTAACTTCTTTCTGAGAAATCTCCCATATCCAAGCTGGTGAATGGATTCCATGGAAATGGTAGTGCTATAGCCTGAATGATTATGCCTTCAAAATATATTTATTTAATCTTTTATTTGGTACAGGATTCTGCTATGCAGCTCGGGCTCATAGTGATCCTCCTGTCTCAGCCACCCCAGCACTGGGATTACAGGCCTGAAAAGCCACACCAGGTTTTGTAGCCAGCACAGGGTGCCCAGGATTTTGGGGCCAACACAGCATGCAGTACCAGAAATTGAACCCAGTTCCTGTGCTTGCCAGGCTGGTGCTTAGACTGCTGAGCTAGCTCCCCAGCCTGTCAAAATTTGTATACAGACTCTTAATCCTAACATGATTGTATTTGAAGGAGAGATAACTAAGAGATAAGAAGAGACAAGGTAGCATCTTCCCTGTCTGTTTTCTACCATGTTTACAAACTAGGATGTAGGCTTTCACCAAACACCATTATCTGTTGGCCCTTTGAACCTAGGCTTCCCAGCCTCCAAAATTGAAATAAAGGTCTACTGTTTGAGCAGCCCCGTCTGTGGAACTGCACTGTAGCAACTTGAACTAAGGCAAGAAGAGAGGTGCGGTCTACTGTAGCCTAGTGTGTATCTGACAGAAATGCATATAGTGAGTACCTAGGTGATTTGCCATGGAGATGAAGCACAGTCCTGTGATATAAGCATCATAGCCTGCCTCGTGGAGCTGTTCAGAAGCTGTGTCATAACTTGGAAAACCTTCAGCACTTTCTAAAAGGAAAAACAGGAAAAAAAATTTTCTCCAGTATATCACAAACACGAAGATAAGTAAATACAATGCCTTTCCAAATCTAAATTGCTTTATTATGTGCCACAAAAGTATCCTAAATAAGCTGGAAAACAACTGTCTTAACTCTCTCCATATAACATCTTACAATGAGAGAACAGAGCCCTGAAAAAGGACGGCAATGTTCCAGACTAGAAAAATTCTTAAGTTATGTGTCAAAGACTGCCAAAGGTCTCTTCAACTTACACTGCTGTTTACAAGCATCATCACCATGTATAACTCTCCCTACAACAATTATTCCTTTTCTGGTTGCCCTGTAAGGTCATAAAAGTGAAATTTTTCCCTACACACATTGATACCATCAGGATACCACAAAAATTAACATCTACACTGTCTTAGTCTCAGTCTTCACTCTGTCACTTACTTGCTATGTGCCCTTGGGCAAGTCATGTCACCTATGAGCCTCCAGTTTTGTAAAATGGAGATGATGGCCTTTTGGGAGGATCAAATGACATAATGTAAGTAAAGCTCCTAATTAGTTGTTATCTATCAATATTCCAGGTAATCCTCCCTTCAAAATGACAACTGCAATTCAATATTGCCAGCTCAAAATCAGCAACATCTCTATGCTCACAAACTGAGAGATCTAAGGTGGGTGGTACAACCCACTCCAAAAACAGATACGAATTTTCTGTAATGTTTCCCTTAGATTATGAATCTCTTCAAGTAGAGTTCATCTTATAACATCAATCTTTGGTTGCACTGATATACATAGATGCTGAAAAGATGAAGTCTGGGCAGAACAAAAAAAAGTCTGAGAAGATCACCTTTGCTTAAATTCTCTACTAGATAGCAGAACACGATATGGAAACAGCAGGATAAAACTATCTTTCATAAATAACTATGTCCTAGAATCATTCTGGAAATGAATATCAAGAAAGCTATAACAGAATTTGAAGCATGAATACAAATTAAACAGTAAAAAAGCTGTAACTTTCTGTGTCAATACAATGCTCTTCAACCAAGAATTCTTTAACTTCTGCTTAAGGATTAAACATCAGACTTGAAGCTTTTTAAAAAAGCCTTTTAGGGTCGGGGAGACGGCTCAGTGGAATAAGCTCTGCCCTGGCAAGCACCAAGGGCCTGAATTCAATCCCCGGTTCCACCAAAGGAAAAAAAATAAAAATAAAAAAGCCTTTTAGCACCTCCGCAATAGTCTCCACATTACTAGCAGCTGAAACACATTTTCCTAATCATTTCCACTACATTATAACAGACAGGACAAGGTTTTCTTCTTCCCATTACCCTGTTCTTTCTTTCTTTCTTTTTTTTTTTTTTTTTAATGGTACCAGGGATCGAACTCAGGACCTTGCACTTGCCAGGTAGGCATTTATGCCACTGAGCTATATCCCTGGCCTACCCTGTTCTTAATTTCTTACTGGACTATTACCTACAAAAAGGAACAGAGAACTGTAACCTTGGCCGTTTTAATTCTTTCCATTATCAATTTTGGAATTAGCCCTGGTAACACCAGAAGTCCCTGGCTTCAGATAATGGAATGCTAACTACAGTATCAACCACATAATTAAACTATTAGGGTCCATGATATAGCACCAGACTCACCAAATACCTGGGTGGTGACCAGATATGCTGAAACACCTTTATCTCACAAGAAATATTCCTCTTCACTTTTAATTTTTCCTACTACTGCTATATGCACTACCTAATCCAGCCCAGAGGGAAGCAGAAGTGGGAACTCTCCTTTAATCTCATTACTACATAAACCCAGGCTTTTCAGAGATAGAAAATGTATTTTCATTCTCCAACAGTTAACTACCAATTCCTTGCTTAAACAGTGTACTATATAAAAGAACACATCATGTTTTAGGAAAATTTCAAGTATTCAGATACAAAAGCCTTAAATGTTTTTTGGTTTTTTTAAAATGTATTTAGTACAAGGTCTCACTACACAGATCAGACTCGTAGTGACCCATACTCCTGCTTTTCAGCCTCCCAAGTACTGGGATTACAGGCGTGAGCCACCACACCCAGTCTCAATCGCCCTTTCAGCTCCTGGGGGGAAGGGGGCAGGGCTGGCACACCATGCTGGGAATCAAATTTTAAGTTTTAATTCCTAGATTTCTCAATGAATGCCTACCAAACTCTATTAATATAAAATAGATGTAGAACTAGAAGACCATCTTCATTCAGAAAACAGTAGTTCAACAAAGCAAGTTAACTCAGTCAAAAATCTACAAAATATACTTTTAGAGCCATTTCACTTTTCTTCTACAGTATATATCAATAATTAAATTATCAAAAAAGACTTTGAGGGTTTATTCTTACCAACTTTAGGAGGGTTGAAAGGTGTTTCTTTTAACCGCTTTTCCAATTCTGCAAGGGATGTGTTGTTAATAATATCCTGAAAATCAGGAAGCAGAGAATTATGACACTTTATCTTCTCAGTGCAGCATATATTAAAGAAATCCACCTACAAGAGTCACATTAAAAAGCATCTCCTACTGCCCCCTGGTGTTCTTTATAGGAACACAATTTATCCTTTCCTCAAAGGAAAAGAGGATCAGCAAGCTACATTTTTATTCTATACTAAGTAGCAAATGGAAGGTTTTTACAGATGTATTAAAAAGGCATAGACTTCTGCCATAAAGCTATACAGTTCTGGGCATTCATCTCACTCAGTTATTTAAGGCCTTTTATTAAGTACAAATGATAATATCTTTGGCTTGAATTTTCTTCATTAGAAAATACACTCAAGGGGCTGGGGAGATGGCTCAGTGGAATAAGCACTTCCCTGGCAAGTGCAAGGGCCTGAGTTCAATCCCCTATTCCACCAAAAAAAAAAAGAAAGAAAAAAAAAGAAAATACACTCAAAATATATAAAATAAGAGGACAAAATTAAGAAAGGAAAAATTATGAATATAACCTATTCAAAAATAAATTACACAGGGCTTGCCAGATAGCTCAGCAGACTAAAGCACCAGGGTTATACCTCCGGCTTGCTGTGCCAGCCCTGCCCCTGGGTACACTGAGCCAGCCACAGAGTCCAGGCGTGGAAGTACATGCCTGTAATCCCACTGCTTGCAAGGCTGAGAACAGGAAGATCATTACGAGTCCAATCTTTGTAGTGAGACCCTGTAGACCTTGTACTAAAATATAAAAATAAATTAAAATATAATGAATTTTAATATTAAAAACTTATATTTAAAAAAAAGGATAAAAAAAAACCTTAACTCTACCACCCAAAGACAGTCACTGTTTATTTATTTATTTTTTTTGGCAGAACCAGGGATTGAACTCAGGCCCTTGCGCTTGCCAGGGAAGTGCTTATTCCACTGGGCCATTTCCACCGCCCCACTGTTCACATTTTAATATATTTATTTCTGGCTTTTTTCATCTCCTTTTGTTTCTTTATTTTTCATTTCTTAAATGTATCTTAATGACATTTAAGTAGACTAGAATTCCAAAGCTAATTTAAATTAGAAATAATTCAAAAATCTCAAAATATAGTTTATCAGTAATAAGTAAAGTTTAAGGGCCAGCCAAATAGCTCAGTGGATTAAAGCACCTGCAAGCAGGCACAGGGGCTGGGGGTTTGATTTCTGGGCCTGCCATGCCAGCCCCATCCCCAGAGGCATGCTGAGACAGCAACTGAGACTGGACATGGTGGCGTGCATGTATAATTCCAGTTCTTGGGAGGCTGTAAACAGGCGGATCACTACGAGTCCAATTTAGTAGTAAGACCATGAACACCCTGTGGACCCTTCCCTAAAAATACAAAAAAAAAAAAAAAAAAAAAGGAAGAAAAAAGTTTAAATAATACCTTAAATGGTTGTGTGCTGGCCATCAATTTAGTATCCAAGAGTCTAAAAAACAGAAGGATTTTTAATAAGGTAAAATGAGTACCAATGTTCAAAATGTACTCTTAAATACATCAATTATATACCTAACGTATACTTCATACATGAAATCTTAGGATATGCTTAATGCATAAAACACTTAAACAGAAGAACCAAACACATTTCCCCAGTGGACCTAGAAGTAGCATCACTACTGCCTTAGCCAGGAGTACCATCACCAGTGACCTCTTTAGGCTATGCAGGACAGTCCATGTTCTAAGCAACACTAAGGAGCCAGCTCTAGATTTGCTTGTACCCTGAGATAGTACCGTCTACATCAACCTCAAAAGTCAGTCAAATGTTTTCACATGGTTCAAACACAACCAAAGGTCTAACTTCCCAGACTACTATCATCCACTGCTGCTTCCCAGGTTTATACGATATAAATTCTTATGGAATTTTTTGAGAAGTACCAAAATCTATCCCAAATCCACATTTGGTAGTTTCAAAAGCTGTTGTTATTTCTCATTATTCTATTTCAGATATTGAAAATACTACAGAGAGAGCGAGCGAGAGAGACCAATATACAAATGGTATTTCTCTATTTCTTCTTTTATGAATATGAATACTGAGCATACTATAACAGAAATATCTCACTTGAAAGACAAACTGCTTAGCTACCAACCTCTTCCTCTTCAAATGGGTCCTAAAACACAGAACCTTATTCTATAGGAAACCTATGACTGGCATGTGGTCTTTCAGACTGTGACACATGAGAACTAGCATGCAACATTAACTATGAAAACACTAACAAGTAAAGGCGCTGACTTATAGTGGAGGGGGGAAAAATCTATAGTCAGACGGTTTGACTGAAAAGAGAAGACTCTCAATCAAACCCTTCAGGAGTTGTAAGGCAAAGACAACACACAAGAACCATCTCAAGGCATCTTTGCTAGTCTTTCTGGTAGCAAGATGTGGGATAATAAGGCACCATCTGTCCTGACTCAGTTCAAAGCTGGATTTTTTCAAAATTGGATTTGTACTGGGATAACAAACCAAATTATAAAATCTAAACAGCCAACCATCACAAAGTTGGATACATTAAATAATTCCCCAATTCACATGAATTTATTCTAATCAGAACCCAATGGTTGTCATACATTACTACATATCTATTCATGTTGTGTGTAAGAAAGACAAGCCCTCAGAGAAACTCTACCTGGGGAAGACACATGTTGTCATCTCTTTAAACTCTTTCAAGTCCTAAAAAAAACAAGAGAATGTCTCATTACAATATTCCTAGCACAGTATAACCAGCTTATTGGAAACAAATGTAAGCAGTGCAGGTGCACAGCTATCTTCTCAAACTGTCACACCTTACACAGGCCTTAAACTAAGCTGCAAAACCCATTTCTCGTTAAGAATTACTTTATTTTTTAAGGAATACAAAATAATATTTAAAAAAGCATTAGGAAAGATAGAAAATTTCACTGAACAAAGTAATAGGAATTCAACAATGGTTGCTATATGATGTTATCTTCAAATTAGTTGTTTGGGTTGCCAGATAAAAACCTGCAAAATTTAAAGCACTTGCTTAGGCAGAGGCAGGGACCCGGGTTCAATCTCTGGCATGTGATGACAGCCCTGCCCCCTGGGGGCACTGAGATGGCGATTGAGACTGGGCATGGTGGCGCATACCTGTAATCCCAGCCCGTGGGAGGCTGAAAACAGGAGAATCACTGCAAGTCTGACCTGTGTAGTGAGACCCTGTAGACCCTCTACTAAACACAGACATGTGCATATACACATACCCCCTGCAAAATTAGTTTAAAAAAATACAGGGTGTAGTGGTGCCTTCCTGTAATTCTATCATTCAGGAGGTTGAGGCAGAAGGATCACTGCAAGCTAGAGGCCAGACTGGGCATCAGAGTAAGCTCAAGGCCAGCCAGAACAGCATGGAGAAGCCCTGTCTCAAACACACACACACACACACACACACACACACACACGGAATTACTTTAAAAAAAAAAATCTTCCTAACTTCCTCACTGGTTAGGAACAATATAACTTGATACCTAATCTCTCTGCATAACCAAAATAGACAAATTTAAGGATTTTAGGGCTGAAATAAAATAGGAAGTGTCCTATTACAGGCTTTTAAAACTTTCAGGGAAGTTACAATAATAGCTAACAGGTTGTGCTCCATTATAGAAATTTATCATAAATATGAAACTATGCTGGGCATGGTAGTGCATGTCTATAATCCCAGAATTCTGGGAGGCTGAGGCAGGAGGACTGTAAACTCAAGCCCAATCTGAGCAAGTAAGTGACTTAGCAAGACCCAATCTCAACATAATAATTAAAAAGGGGTAAGAATACAGCACAGTGTTAAAACTCTGGATTCAATCCCAGTACCACAAAAAAAAAAAGAAAAAAAAAAAAAAAGAAATGGACATATTATAAACTAGCTTTTACTTCTTGAAATTATATACAGGTGTTTGTTAAAATGGGTACTAAAATAGACATTTCAATACACATACAATTCTTGATTTAAATACCCAGAAAACTGCTAAAGTGGCACTAATAGCACACAATTCATTTCCCAAGTTTATTTGGATCAGGAAGTCTACACCAGAAATGAGAGTGTTCTAATTCTGAATTAGCTCATTTACATACATAAATTGCAATGTTAGGCTGGGTAGTCACACTCCTGACCCTTTGTAAACTACACTTTTCTCCAATGTTATTCATGTTTCACAGGAAACTGCCATCTCCAATTACCATTCAAGCCTGTAAATACAGACTGTATTTAACTAGCTTGAAATGTTTACCAGGCTTTCAATGGCTATCATTAAATTAACGGCAATATATGAAAAAGTGGTTTCAATGTAAGTCAAACTAAAATGCCATGACTGTTGGTAATCTCTCAATACTACGGCAAACCTTTACAAACAAGAAAAAGGTAAAATGATGGCTACCATAAAGATGGAAATGCAACAGAGTTCTACATCAGTGCCTTCTGAAAGGTCATGTTAGAATACCAAGCCATCCCACATGAAGACACTCTCCTGCTGAAGTCAGCTCCAAGATGCAAATTCTTTATTACACATTTAAATGCAAAATTTGGTGCCAGTATATATAAAAGTTCTCCCATTTTAAACAGATTTTCTCATTTTCATTATTTCTTCCAAAGGTAAATGAAAGAAAAAACATCTTCCTGACAATGACAGAACATAATTTCCCCCAGCTGCCTTAGAGATAAAGCAAGGGATAAAACGCTTACCCTAATCCACCTCCTATTATATATACCAAATGACCTGCTTTCTACTAGAATTTTACTCAAGGCTCATCTTACTTTAGTATTTATTAAGTGCTCACATACAAAGCATCGTGCCAGGCACTCAGACCCTCCTCTAAGGAGCTAATTGCTGAAAAGGTGCTGTGTTGTACAAAGCAAGACAAAATTCTATGTACCAAAAAGGTACTGAGTTCTGTGCAAATTCAGAAAAAGATCACTTTCTAAGCAAAGCAAAAAGATAGCAGGTAGGGAAAATTTCATGGAGGAAACGTAAGGTGGAACTTGGAAACATATGGTAAAGCCTTAGACTACAAACACTGAGAAAATCTGAGGAAAATTCAAGTTGTCAGAAATCATATGCCCCAACCACAAGCACGTCTCAGAGGAAAAACGAGCCACTCTAGATGGAAAAAAGCAGAGCAAACATACTAAGACCACAAGGAAAGTTGGGCCAGATCACAGAAGATTGATACGCCAGACTAAAAAGTCAACTATACAGAAAACAACTGTGAAATGATTCAAGAATCTTAAGCAGGATCAGTGACATGAACAGAGCCACACATCAGAAGATTACAAAACTGGTACATTCTGAAGATATTCATTAAATCAATATTTAATGCCTCCTACATTTTACAGTTTGCTACTTAAAACATCTTGAAAGAGTATTAAATATGCTTCTCTTTCCTTATGGATAACTTCATTAGTTTAAAGGTCAGAATATCAGGAAAGGAACTTCCACTTAGGTCTATCTAACCAACAACTGGATGATCTAAAAAAACATTATTAGTCCTTTAGATATCATGCAAATCTATCCCTATCACACTTGTTTTTAGAGTTACAACTATGAAGCTTTGGTGTTTTAGAGGGTAACGGAGATGTTATGAAAAGTAGTGGCGACCTTAAGACAGTTGAATAAAGACAGGGAAAACAGACCCATTCTACTCAGGGCTGACCTGGGTTTTAGTATTCTAAAGGACAGCAATTACAATGTTGATGGGGAAACCTCACCTAATAAATGTTAAGTAAAGTTTTCAGACATGAAAATGAGACACCTAGGGGCCGAGGAGATGGCTCAGTGGAATAAGCACTTCCCTGGCAAGCGCAAGGGCCTGAGTTCAATCCCCGGTTCTGCAAAATAAAATAAAATAAAATAAAATAAAATAAAAATAAAAAATAAAAATGAGACCTAACTCTTAAGTGGGTGTATTCCAATGCTCAAGTAACAAAAGACTGATACTCAAGTATCTAATTTTGTATCATATTAAAGGAGTTTGCCAAGTATGATCTGCCAAACCAATATTGGCCTATCACTTATTTTTTGATAAAATTTTACATAATATGGTCACACTCATTTCTTATGCATTCTGTGGCAGCTTGGGGCTAGAATGGCAGAGCTACGAGTTGTGACAAAGATCATGTAGCCTGAAAGGCCCTTTAGAGAAAAAATTACCAACCTCAGGTTTAAAGATAGGTGGAATGCTGCAGGGTAGACAGGGTTAAGGAACCTCATCTGCAGTTTGCTTGAATTACAGATGAATAGCAAAGCCATCTGCAATAGAAATTACAATAACCCTAATATGAGAGATGATACTGATAAAGATGATAGTGTTCAGATTTTTCAAAGGACTGGATCTAGGAACAGAGAGTCAAAACTGGGTTCTAAAAACAGGGTTCAGGCCCCGTCATTGCTTATAGACCGGAAGTCGGAATCTTAGTTCTCTTTCCCATCTTGCAAGATGGCGGGTGAAAAAACTGAGAAGCCAGACACTAAAGAGAAGAAACCCGAAGCCCAGAAGGCTTCTGCCAGTGGCACTGGTAAAAAGGGTAAGGTGAAGAAGGCAAAAAAGTCCAAGAAGGGGCAGCCCCACTGCAGCCGAAATCCTGTCCTAGTT